CGGGGGCGCCATCCAACACATCCAGCTCGCTAGGAATCTCCCCGGCTACGTCCGTGGCGCCGGCTTGTGCATCAATGCCATGGATCCTCACTCCAGGCATGTCCGTACCCAGCTGCTCCCTTCCATCAGACATCACATGGCGTTCCACTACAGCAACTCTGCACGGTATATCATCTCCACACTCATTTAAGAGTTGTAGGCAACTTTTGATGTTATTTACATCTTTCTGCTTTCCCTTAAATGCCACATACTGTAGCGTTGCTTTGTGTTAGGACACAGTTCAAACAACACCTTCCTTGAAGATTCAATCCATCGAGTGTCAAAGTGATTCGAGGCAAGTAGAACAAGCTCGTCCTGGCACATTGTCTTAATCTTAACCGCAAGAAAGTTAAGAAACTCGTCCTTGACTACCAACATACCATCTACAGTTTTATAGACCTGCTGTTTCACTCGAGGTCGACCAAGGCTCGGCGGGGACCAGCCCCCCCCTCCCCCCCCCCCCCCGCCATATTGGCAGTGGCCAATATGGCAGATATATCATTGTTAAGCTTAGAAAAGCCTGTAGATTTTGTCAAAAATAAAAATCTTTGGGATACAAACACTTCCTTTACTAATAGGACCAAATTATTTTTGAAATGAGGTGGTCCATTCTGATGGAGGAGCTGATCAGAGGGGGTTTTGTTCTGCTTGAAATCTAATGATTATGGGACTGACATGCCATAAATGCAGCTTCTTAAGGGGATATTTTTGTGCCAGTATTAATCAGTTAAAAGATGACATTTTTATACCCAAACATACTGATTCTCTGCTCTTGTTGATTTTCATAAACACATACTGGTCAAAAACAGTGCGAACAAGGCTCTGTTGGAGGATGAGCTTGTCTAGTTGTTCAGTGTTGCTCCCTGACAATCCCTGACATCTGTCTCGATTCAACGTGGACTACCTCTTTACCTCCTCTCTCCTTCTCCATAATCCTCCCACCTCCCTCTATCTTCTCTCTCTCTCTCCAGTCACACATGAAAGCCTGCCTGACTTATGCCTGTCAGAGGAACATCCCTTGCCATGAGGAGCTGAGAGGAAAGAGAGAGAGTGAAAGGAGGCTTTCAGATAAGCCCCAAAGAACACACACAAACACACAATTATACACACCAGTTCCCACTGCATGGGCCAGAGCGGGTCATTGAAGGTGAGGGACTGGTCACTCTTATTCTCCTCAGGCTGCCTGTCAGTTGCAAACTCTCTCCTCTGGGAACCTGGAAGCACACAAAATTGAAAGAAGATGCTCTAGAGAGAGATTAATCAACATTAAACTCAGCGAGGTGTCTGTGTGTGTGTCTGTGTGTGTGTGTGTGTGTGTGTAGTTTTTTTTTTCTTGTCTTGAACTATGACTTCAGGAAGTCCCTGGTTTCCAACCAATGGTGAAAGGCCTCCCAGATTCCCTTTCTCTCCACTGAGGTGGAATACTGCTGGCAGATTACCATATCATTAGCATCTCATTACTGCAGCACAGCTTTACTCGCTGTCTCTGGATGTGCTATCACCTCATCAAGGCCTGCACCTTTCTTTCCTTGCACTACATGTTACACTCACCGCCTCTCTCTCTCTCCTAACATTTTCACCCCTGCATATAACTCAATTTCACTGCCATTCACTCTTTTTCTGCCTCTGTTTCTCACATTTGGGATGGAGATTAATCTGTTTGTTTCATAACATAGGACATATTGCAAAATTTATCACACCAGGTGTTAATGGGAAGCTCTTTTTTCCACTGTGCACACAGACATGCATGAATATATTTCCAGCCTTAGTATTAATTAGGTCTAACCATACATGTATTGATCCTGAATCATTCCATTCGGTATGCAACTTTATGCTTCAGTACTCGCTGTGAACCAAGTAATTGCTGACATATTAGCCTACCACATTTTAATTAGGTCTGGGTCTTAGCACATGTATAACAGCTTCTAAAATTAGCCCCTAGATGTACAAGTCATAGACAGAGTGCTGATGGTACAGCTAATACTAGTGAGAAGCCAGGGCTAGAACTGTGTCAGACGTTCTCTACAAAAATCACTTGACAGCGTTTGGTGTTTTGACTAAATTAAAGTGACACTGGACAAAGAGTAGTGGATCAAACACAACTTGTCTGCTTGCAACACACAAACATGTTAAAACACATGCAAGAGCATCATCAGAAAGAGTATTTTACAGTGCTTGCTGGTATAGAGCTATGCAAGGATCCAAAAGGTGGGAACCAATCCAAAACTACCCCATAACAAACACGCAAGCACATAAATGCATTCTTTGCAGTCAGACAGGCCCAGACAGACCTGGGAACAACTGAACCCAAATATGGTCAACCTGAACAGACTATAATAGAGAGAACAAACACTGGCAGTAGCATAATGCAGAAGATTGCTTGACCAAAGAAAGAAATAGACATCAGATAACAATTTTCTAAAAAAATCTATTTGAAACATTTCTATAGCAATTTTAAACAGGCTAATTATGTAAAATGCTTTGTGGGCTATGTGATGTATCATGTGATCAGAGCTGGTATTGTGTACACTCAGATCTATTTAGGCCACAGGGACATTAGACATTGATGCACAAACCACACACTATTCAACCCAATTAAACTTGACCACTAAAACTTATTTCGACATTCAGGTCGTTTGAGGGAAGATCTGCCAGTGTCTCATGTGTGCAAGGCAAATAAAGCGACAGCCAGGAGACAGCTTTGCATAACGACTGGGAGCAGAGGGAAGCAGTAGGACAGCTAAAACATTTTCTATACACCGTGTCTAAAACTCATATATTAACAGTGTACAAATTAAAAAGACAATGCATTAAATGATAGAGCATTGTGGGCATAGGGACATTTGTGCTAACATTTGCATGCCCTAATTCTACGCAAAATGACCAATGTGCCACTGTTCAATGTTTGCATTTCAAAATAAATGTCAACACAAATTTGGCCTATGTATTAGTATACATGTCAGATGAGGGTTGGATGGTGGACCCAAATGCACAACACTAGTCAGAACAGCAAGTCTAAAGGTTTTAATACAAGGGCCCAGCAGAGGCAGAGTCAGGGACAGAAACCAGGTCAGCAACAGGCAGGCTTGGTACAAGTTGAGGTACAGAGCCAGTATCAGATGACGGCTTGAAAACAAGCCACAGAATAGATCCAGCAACTAAAAAATCAGTCACTGAGAGTGAAACTGGAGAGAATGAGATGGTGAAAACCTGGGAGTTCCTTTCACAATAAGAGTCTCAGGCAGGACATCAGGGACAGAACATGACAGGATACACACAAATTACAAAAAAATATACAGACGATTGGACTGGTACACACAGGCAGGAGAGTAAATATTAAACAGGCATTAAACAGCTGCACTTAAAGCACTGGCTTCATCATAAAGGTCAAAGATACCGTATGTCTCAGAGGCATTAAGAAAATCCTCTGTGGTAAATGGTCTATGTAAAACAGCCATTACAGGGGCATACGCATTTACGTACCTATAAACCAACAATTTTGTGCACTTAATACTTTATAATGCAATTCTCAAACCAATTGTGACATAAAACCACATTTTGAACATTTGTTCAGTTCAGTTAGAGGACTGACTACAGTACAAATTAAATCAACTAAATGAAGTTAGTGTGAATTTCAATGGAGTTCAGATAAGAAAAAAGCCTGAGGCTATAGTGCATGTCTGTTCACAGAATGTGGTCCTAGTTTAACATTGTTTTGGTTAAAATGCACAGTAGTGACATTAATATGTGGCTGTGTATCAGTTACTTGCTGCATTCACCAGTTCTGACCAGTCTCCCTGTCCCTGCTGCTGAAAACCCCCACTCCCAGCCCCCGCAGGATCATGCTGCCACCACCATGTTTCAATGGTATTAATCAGGCCTTTTACTCAAAAGTTGTCCGAGAATCTGCAAAACAATTCTGAAGCTCTGTTAGAGTGACTGTTGGGTTCTTGGTCACCCCCCTGACCAAGGCCCTTTTTGCTCAGTTACTCAGTTTGGTCAGATGACCAGCTCTAAGAAGAGTAGTGGTGATTACAACCGTCTTCCATTTCACAGTTACTAAGGCTGCTGTGGCCCTGGAAACACTCAGAGCTTAGAAATTGTTTTATACCCTTCCCTGATCTACACCACAGTTTAATCACAGAGTACCAGGCACTTCATAGCTTAGTTTTTGTCCTGACATACAGTGTGAATTGCGGAGGCTTATATACACACACTTTACTAAACTATGTCCAGTCAATTTGCCACAGGTGGAATCCAGTCAACTTCTTGACACATCTCAAAGAAAATTAAAGCAAACAAGATCCACCAGGCCACAGTGTGGAGTGCCACAGCACAGAGTCTCACTACTTTTGATTTCCCCTTTGATTTATAATACATTTTCAAAAATTTCTAAAAAGATGTTTCTACTGTCATTATGAGCTATTGAGTGGTGGGCCTTTTCTTTTGAAGTTACAGTAAACCTAAAACAATATATTGTGCAAAACGTTACATGCTCTGAATAAGGTGACTAAAATTGGAAGACTGTATAAAATGTGCATATATACTGTAAGTAAAGTATGTAGCTGGAAGTTTCATTATTTCATACATGTCACACATTTAACTTGTTAGTTGTGAATTTTTTATTTCATTACATCATTTGTTTATGGTGCTTTTAGACCTGTGGTCACCCTCAGACTGATTAACAAATAGCAAACTGCTCTGTCCAACAGTGCCACTACCTACCTAAGAACTGAGAAGAAAATGTAAAGTCACATATCCAAACACAGATAATTAATTTAAAAAAATGAACTGATGTGAAAGTAAAAGGTGTTTTGACAAGAATTAACTTGTCTTCTTTACAAAATATGCCAGCTCATGAAAAATGCTAAAGGTTAACAATTGCTATGACAGTCTTACATCCTCCTGTGCTAATCTTAAGCATACAGCATTAACACGATACTATTATACAGTAACTGCTCCTGATAAATACATGATAAGAATAGGAAAACACAAAAGTTGCCAGTTTAATCAAAGCAAGTGATAAAGGTGAACAGCTTGAAAGCTCATCTGTGTGTGTTTCTAATATAGAAAATTAATCTCCTTCCAAAACCTCCAAAAACAAAAATACAGTATTTACTACAAGTATTTTTAAAGTGCTAATTTATTCACCATAGCCTCATTTCCATGACATTATTCTTGCTGTTATATTTTCTTTATAATGTTTTTCTTTCTGAAGATAATCACATTTTGTACTACCTGTAGAAACTGTACTTGTGTGCAGCCTACGTGGGCTTTCAGACTGATCCGGTAAAAACACAACAGCCTGCTGTGTTTTAACACAAGGGGCCATCTTGGTCAGATGTAGGTCGGGGGTCCATTGTATTTTTGTTAGCCATGCTGAAAACATTGCCTACTTTACCTTAGCACCAATGCTACCAGCAGCATGTTGGCATTGATAGACAAAAACATTGTTTAACATCCAGTACTAACAAAAAATGCACGGCATGTCATTATGGTGCATTAACGTTAATGCGAAGGCTCAAGCTAACAAGGTAAACAAAACAGTCCTCTTCCCGTAGGCATACACGCCCTGATCGTCCCCTGTATGTGATTGGTCAAGATAGTGCCTTTGCCAGATGATGTCACCATCTGTTGTGGCGAAAGGTGAAAGAGATCCAACTTCTTGGCCACACAGAGTTGCATCGTTTTGGTGCTGGTGCTGGCTGCAGTGAACACAATGCCCCATAGAAATGAATGGAGAGAGCTACATTTTTTCCACACCTTTGAAACGCAGACTGAACAAACGGCCTTAAGGGTTCTGTGTACATATTGTAGCTTTACCTCTCAGTTATTTTAGACTTTACATTTTCATGCTTATATTTGTTAAATAGTGGCTTAATACTCTGCTGGAAAGTTGTGTTAATATAAGAGTCCTTGACAAATATGAAAGTAGCTGATTAAAGTTTGCAGCTCTGCATCTAATTCACTTTGCACCTGTAACCACACCCAGCACTGAGGTGTCAGTGTACTGGCACACTTTCAAGTACACTTCTAAATCACAGCAGCAAAGTGAGAAGTTTTTCAGTCAGCTTCATATGATATAAGTGATGGGGTTCAATATGTACATGCAATTTTCTGCCAAAATTAGAACAGTTATTATTTCACATGAGAAATTTTGTATTTCATTTTTCTGTGTTCTTCAAACTAATTAGAAAACTGTCACATACAGTACTTCAATGCACAGCGATATCTGAACATGTTGGTGTTGATATTGACTGTACCATACAGTTTACTGTATGTAGACTTTAAACCACATTACTTTTCTATCTGTCAGCTGGTAAATCTACAGTTGCCATTTTCAGTATGACAAACACAATTTAAAGCCTTAACAGACATCATATATTTTAACTGTAAAAACCACCAAAATTATTTTGTTGTAAAAGAACAAGTCTGACTGTCTCAAAAGTAGCTTAAAAATGCACACGGACAAATGTTAGATGCACCTTTTGACAGTACTTTGATCCGTCATTCATTTTTGTCATTTATTGCCCTGAAATTTTTTTCTTTGGTTAATGAAGTTGTGGAGTTTCCTGATTATGTTGCTAAACCAGTGTCAATAAACACAGATGAACCAAATAAGTCAAAATCTTGAGTCTTGCTGAATGCTAAACAATGACACAATGTTTCTTCCTGACATTTACTGTCACTGTTACTTATTTAATTTATTTAGTCATAAATATTCATTTTTAGAGGTCAATGCAATAAGTCTAAATGCAGGTTTTCTGGGGTTTGAGCTGGTGTAATGTAAAAATATCACAATTAAAAGAATTTCCTGGCAAACAAACACTGTAGTCAGAACTTACTGTCGGTGGTACTGTGGTCCAATCCTGGCACTGGAGCGCGTTTGTCTCTGTAATGACTGTGTTGTCTCTGCACCCAGTGAACCTTAAAATAACAACACACAGTAGTACATTACTGTAGGCCAATATGAAATCTTGTTGGCTTTAGTCAATCACTAATCCATGAGCTGTTTTACTTTGTTTGTTGTCTAAACTACAAAATCTGAATTAAATCTCACATCTTAACTTGACTTACATAGGTTCACACCTACTAAACCACAACCTGGCTTACCCTATAGGTGCTCATGTACCACAGCTCTAATAATCTTCAGCCACATCTTATTTTCACTTTGTATGGCTTTTTGTCTAGGGCTGTGGATTTATGCGGACAAAAGTAAAACAGTGACAAGCATGGCGCAAATAAAATACTTTTTTCTTTCTACTTTGAAAGAGGGAGAATCTATAGCACAGGGAGAGCTGGACATTTTTATGAAGCAGAGTAAAAGGTTTCCCCTTCATTAGTTCAAAGACTACTCGCTTGCGCTCTCCTTTGCCGTCCCATTGTCCTGGGTTAAAAGCAACGAAAACACCCCCGCCTCACCTACATCTCTTTCCTCCACACACACACACTGTCTTTCATAGGCTGCTGCTTGCAGCTTTGATCTGATAAGAGGCTGGTCCTTGTGAAGGTGAGCGCACTAAATCAAACAACAGATCACAGACACACACACAAACACACACATATCAGTGTCAGACCACTATTGTCCTCTTACACTTAAATCAGAGTGGAAGAGGTTGAAAATAAATACTATTGAGAGGCGGCTGCAGTCTTTTATGTTGTAAAAGCCTGCTTGCTTTATTTCCCCTTCATGTTCTTCAATTAGACTCAATTAACAAGAGCTGGGAGCGGGTCTGAAGTACCCAAGGAGACGGGTGCAAGGTAGGAGGGGCCGCTGGAGCTAAGAGCGCCACATATGAGATATTAAATACAATAGACCTCAGAGAGGAAGTGGTTGGGAAGTGGGTGCAGCTCTACAAATGTAATCAAGCTGATGTTTAAATTAGGCTGATTATATTGATTTATCTAAATTTAACATACAGTTAAACAGAGACATTCTTAAGTTAGTGCACATACTGGAAGATATGTCTACTGTAATTATCAAGAAAAACATGGCCATTGTTCTTTGTTTAAATACCTATAATGTTATCCATACCATAGCACCTTTAGACACATGCACAAGTTCAAGATAAAGGTGAAATTCACAGAATAGTTCCTACAGTAACATTTATAAACTGTACTGTGTAGCACCACAGTTTTACACAGAAGATGATCATAAGTGATTAACAACTACATCTGTACTTAAAACAGACACACATACAGCGGTCTTCCAATGTCGGCTAAATCCAACTAATGTAGCGCAGTTTGACAGTTTCATGAAGCCTTTGCTTTCAGTTTCCTTTCTTTTGGTTTTAATTTACATTTGATCAAATAAACAAAATGTACAAACACATAGATACACCCTAACAGGTGCTACAGCTTTAACATATATTCTATGTTTTCACTACATTTTATGTTTTCACCAGCCAACTACTGGGAGCTGCTGAAGGAAGTGAACCCTTAGCAACAAAGACTATGACCTTCATTGTCTGTTCAAATTTTAACTAAACCAAGATATGGTTATTTTCTGTTGTAATCATTGCATTGGACCTAATGGTTACTGAAGGTGCAGCCAATATGAGCTAGCTAAAGCCAGAGGTGAGCTCAATAAGCATTTGTCATTAAGGCAGATTATTTTATCATGGGTCTGAGCCACTGAGTTACTCAGCAGATATCTAATCTATGTATTAATTCAGCATAAGAGTACAGTAAACAGGTTTTATTGTGCCACCCATGCTATTTTGAAAATTAACTGCACCATGCATTGTAGCCTTGACCTTCAGATATAGATACTGAATGAAAATTCAACATATTAAAGGTGCATTGGCTGAAAGTAATTTTTTTAAATCATGCACAAAAAATCTTCTTTTTAAATTGTTTGAATTAAAAAATAATAATGCATATACACAACAAAGATGTGCCTGCATGTGTGTGAATCCCCCGACTATCTTGTAAATACCCCTCTAGCCCCTCCTATGGAAGAGCAGCCAGGACACAGTGATCAATGCACATGATAGGGAGCTAATCGCTCTCTGTCAAACTGGGCCCTGCCAGCTACTAATGGCACACACTCACTAGGGAATGAGTGTGAACATGTGTGTGTGTGTAGACATGGGCCTTAATGGCAGATTGAGACTCTTAAGGGAGTATTGCTCAAGGTTAGACTCAGGGAACAAGGGGCAATTGACCACAATGTCTGTGACACTGACCCCTCCACTGCCAATGCATCCATCATTCAGCTGCATCTAGGCAGCAAACACACACACACACACACCAAGTACAGCACAAGACACACACACTATCAAAAATAATGCCCTGTGTAAATACACTGAAAAAAGTGAAAAAAGACAAAGGCAGGGTGTATGCAAAAATAAACATCTAAGAAAAACTGTTTTCCAACAGTGAGGAAGAAAAAGAATGGTGGAGCACCACATGACTGAATAGCTGTGGTAGAACTGACAGAGGCACAATGTGAGTGTGTGGAGGAGAAGATGACAGACGGCGAGAGTAGCGTGTGTGAAGATGGGTAAGTGTTTTGGACACCCCATGGAGTATGTCTGTCTATGTGCATGAATATGGCTCCATAGAACAGAAGTCAGTGATTGAATAAGGTGGTGAGGAAACACAAAAAAGTGTGTGTGAGTTTGCCTTTGTATTACTTACTTTGGGGGGACCGAAACCTGTTCACACACTCACATTGTGGGGCCATCCTCTTGTCTTAGGGTGGCAGCATGGTTTAAGGTTAGGGTCAGGGTTAGGGTTAGGCAAGTAGTGGTTATGGTTAAGGTTAGGATAGGTCTACAGGAAATGAATGTAAGTCAGTGTAAAGTCCCCACAAGCAATGAAAACAGTGGTGAGTGTGTGTGTTCATAATACTCCCATGTCTCTATATAAATGAGTAGAAGCTATGGATGGCAGGCAGCTGCAACAGTGTGATGCAAGCTGAGCTGCACAGATATCACCGCTGACATTTTAGGCTTTGCTACCCACCTGCAGCCCCTTGGGAAAGTGCTGGCATTGCCAGCAGCGGTAGCCGCGTCCCCCTTGAGCTCACCCCCTCCAACCACCTATCAATCACAACACAGTGCTTCCTGACGTGGTCTGTCCACCCTATGATTGCCCCGCCCTGGTTGGGCTCATTACGCCACACTGCGGTAAACATTCTGCGTGACCCACTGTTACCAACACCCAGACCCTGCTGCATCGCTGATCCCTATCTGATCCTCAATCCCTCAACCCCACCCACCAACTCTCTGCCTCTTTGTTCAGTCTCTCATCTCTACCTGCCAGACTGATAACCCCTGACCACAGAGAGGGAAAAAACAGTTGAGGGGTGTTGTGTGTTACTGCCAACCTAAAGATGAACAGTGAAACCAACAGAGCCACGTAAAAAACCAGCGCTCCACAGTGTTGAGCAGCAATAGGAGGGAAGGGGAAATTGCACACTTTGAAGGAGAGGAGAAAGATAACAGGCAGATAAACTCCGGCCCCTCCTCTAGACGTCTTTTAGGGCACCTCTTGGCCTGCTCTCCTTCCTTCGCTTCACCCTCCCTTACTCCGCCTCCCCACCCACCCCTGGGCCCTCTGATGTGTTGCTCACTCCATTGTGTCAGCCTTCAGAAATGCTCAGTTTGAGTGGCAGGCCGTCACAGATCAGTTCCCTGCTAAAGCGGCCCGGCAGGCCGGGGTGACGGGCCAGGAAGGGATCTAAGTGGGGTTTATCAGCGCTTCTTAACGCCTCTCCAGCTCCCTGACACAAAAGAGAGGGGGTATTAAACATCTAAAGCAAACCAAAAAGCGTGAAAGCTCCTTATAGGGCCGCGGGACTGCAGATGTGACTGGAGTCTTAAAAAAATAGTTTAAGAAAAGGAAGAAGAAAAATAAAGAGTGGGGGGAAAAAAGCACACAAATGCTTCAGCAGAGAGGAAACACTGAGGGAAAATTGTGATGCTTTTTCTGTCCTGTGTGGATAGAAGAGTTGGTGGAAGAGAGAGTGAGACAGAGAGACATCTGTAGTATCAAGATGAAACTAAGCAAATGAAAACGGCCTTATAATAATGCAGCTTGCCACCTGTTTTGTTTGTGAAGCTGATAATGTAACAGTCTCATATACAGTAAGTATATACCCATGTTCTGCCAATATACAAGCTACTTGAATAAGACTGGGAAGTAGTCTGCTTAAAGCGCTAAATGATTTTAGATTCAAAAGGAGATTAATTTTAAGTTCAGTTATCTGGACAATTTCGAGACCTTCCACAGAACAAAGAATAAAGAATAAATACCAAGGTTTGACAGATAACATCACAATGTATTCAGAATTAACGTACACAAATGTTTCTCAACAAGTCAAGATCTAGTGCGGCAGTATGAAAGTATGAACAGACTAAAAATACAATTTGTTTGCTAGCCAATGTAACACAAAGCACCTAGCTAACCCTGTATTACTGTCAGGTTACTTTTGAAATGTAATAGGTCACAGACTACTAGTTATGTAACAAATTACTTTTAATTACTTTTTGATTTCTAAAAGAATATTTTAAGTTGGGCAATAAGCTGAAAATTTGTAACATAAATTTAAACCACGCAGTGTAAACCTCACGACAGTACTCAACACTTATTACTGTCAAATTTTTATTAAAGGCTCTTCAGTTACATAATATTGTAATGTAGGCTGAATGGAAGACGAAGCCGGGGACAGGAGGTGCTTTTTTATGTGCTCCCTGGAGCCACTTTTATTAACAACACAACACACTCTGTTAATCGCACTGACACAGAACACAGAACAATCCATGCCAAACCAAACTAAATATACTATGCCAGTGCTTCTTCCTTCCATAGCTCCTCCCATACAAGCCCTCCCAGGCTCACCTGGTCTTGGTGTACGCTGCAGAGGAATATGCCGCAGTATACGTAGGCGTGTATGAGCCCTTGGCTGACCCTGGAGGTGT